ATAAAATGAAAAGTAAATGGAAGACATTATATAAAAACAAAACAAAACAAGATACATTATAAAATGATGTAAAATACTAAAAACAGGAACATGTCTCCATTGTTTTTTTGCTATGAACTTAGCAGATGTTTAATTTTTGTAATTTTTTTCATTTAGCCTTTATTTATCCAGGTTAGTCTCATTGAGCCACGAGAACTCATTTTCAAGAGAGAATGTTTAGGAGCAGATGGTGGGGGTTGAGTGCCTTGCTCAGGGCCCCAGAGTGGGGCGAATGAGGGTGGAGGGAGGTGTGGGTGTTCCACCTATTCCACCCACATTTTGATGTTGACGGTACCGGGAAATGAAACTGCGACTTTCCGATCACAGGCCCATCTTCTAACCTCTGCGCCACCACCCCCCTAAAAAAATCCATTAGAGAGGTCAAGGTTGAGATCTTCAGATCTTTTTTTGGGCGGCTGTGGCTGAGTGGTTAGAACAGTCGTCCTCCAATGCAAGAGTTGGGGGTTCGAATCCACCAGCAGTCACATGCTGAAGTGTCCCTGGGCAAGACACTGAACCCCTCATTGCCTCTGATGTGTGTCCCATCAGTGTACGAATGTGATAAAGCTCTGATTAGTCTCATTAGAATGATTTGTTCAATTAGCTTTGTAGAGATCTAGTATAGAGCTGTATGAATGGGTCAATGAGGCACAGATTGTTGTAAAGAGCTTTGAGTGTCTTGAAATAAGACAGAAAGGTGTTATATATGTACAGTCCATTTACCATTTTCAAGATATTCCAGGAAACAGGAGCGGAGTAGGATAAGGTTCTTTTTGTCTAGTTCAGTCCTCACTGAGGGAACACTGCAGGTAATAATGTCCTGAGAGCGCACGCTGTAGCTGCACTCACACAGAGACATGTAGGAGGAGATGTATGAAGGCAGCAGACCAGGAAGTGATTTAAAGATGAAAATGTTCCAGTGAGAGAGTCTGTGTGAAGTTAATGATGACCAGTTAACCAGTGAATACAGGGTGCAGTGGTGGGTACGATAATCACAGCCAGTTATGAATCTTAGTGCACCATGATAGACAGCATCCAACATCTGCAGCATCCAACATCTGCAGCATCCAACATCTGCAGCATCCAACATCTGCAGGGTTCTTGTAGGAGCGTTCATGTAAATAATGTCACCGTAATCAATGGAGGGAAGGAAAGTCACAGATACAAGGTGTTTCCTAACATTCAGAGTTAAACAGGATGTTTATGAAGAAAAAAAACAGTTTAACTTTCAATTTCTTTATCAACTTATCTATTAAGTAAGTTATCTATTATTGTAAGTTAGCTATTAGGTTATACTTTATCTATGTAGGTCAGCAGCAGAAACAAACCTTAAAAAGTTAGATAAACTACAAGCTCAGTTCTTACAGATCATCAGTGGGTCATTCAGAACATCACCTGTGTCAGCAATGCAAGTAGAAGTGGGAGAAACTCCCCTCAGAATAAGACAAGTTAAACTCATGCTGGGTCAATCTGCAGAGACACGATGGAAAACATCCAACCAAAAATATTTTAACAGATCGTTGGGAACACAACGAAACAATCATCATAAGTATTACAGCCATATGGTGGGCTTTACTGTATTTATTTTTTGTTGGATGTAATACCTGGAAGTCACAGTGAGTGGCATCATGGTTAAAAGAAGTCACAGGTAACGCAAAGCTGAGCTTTCACTCACTGTGACTTTCAGGTATTATATTAAACAAAAAATAAATACATAAACCTCAAGAATATGGCTCTAATAATAAGCTTTGGATGAGTAGGTGATGGGAAAAACAGAAAGTGTTGGATTAAGTCAGTTTCAGTACTGCCCTACACTTCCATCATCATCCATTCCTCTGTGTTTATTTCCATTACCTAAAGTAAATCTTAGTATACATCAGAAACTCAAAGAGATATCAGAACAACTCCCAGTATGGCACATTGTCCAAAATTACTGTGAAGAACACGTCTCTGATGATATCATTTTATTTACAGATGGTTCTAAGGATGCTGAGACAGGGAGGGCATGTT